TTACCACCTGATGTTGGGCATCCAGATAATTTTATTTTTTTATTCTCTCCCTTTTTTTACGGAGTAATGGCCCTTTGTTGAAAAATATTTGTCCAGACAACTCCTCAAAAACTACTGGGCCAATTTCAACGCAAGTTTTCAGATATGATAACTACCACCTGATGTTGTACATACAGGTTTATTTTTCCAACCCGTTTTTATGGAGTTATTGCCCTTTGTTGAAAAATCCTTTTCCTGACAACTTCTCCAAATTTATTAGGCCAATTTTAAAGTTTACAGATATGGTAACTGCCTGCCCCCTGAGGTTGTGCATCCAAGAAGTACTTTTTCATTCCGACCCTTTTAAAAGGAGTTATGGCCCTCTCTCTCCTAAACTACTGGTCTGATTTCAATGAAAGTTTAAAGATATGGTAATTACCCCCTGATGTTGTGCATCAGGGTAGTATTTTTTAATTTCGACCAATTTTTAAGGAGTTAAACGTCCCTTTGATAAAAAAATTGTCCTGACAACTTTTCCTTAACTACTAGGACGGTTTCAGCAAAACTGGTTCATCTGGGCTAACAAGATTTGGTTTGCAAGTATGTTTTGCCATTGGGAGGGAGTACAGAAAGTATGTCAGTTACCTATATTCTTAAATAAGTGTACAGTGCAGTGAATAAAGAAATAAATACTCTTGTGAGACTATGGATTGCTTTGCAATGCTTTACCTTAGTTAGCCTTTAGCTTACAGCTCTGGTTTATATAGGAGTGGGGGTACTAGTTAGCATTTGGCTTACAGTTTTAGTTATTTCAGAAATGCAATTTATGTTACCCCTACCCCATTTTTTAAGTGTAAAAATACTTCTTTTTCAATGTGTTTTTGCAGATGTAATGATTTATTTAAAAGGTTCTGGTATTATTTTTTTATTAATATTCAATGGATCGAAAGAAATGTGTTTTTCTTCCTAAAACAGTCAATAAAATGGGGGTCAGTGCGCTTATTTTTTTGCTATATTTTTTTTTGATTAATTTCTCACCTTTAGTGAGATAAAACACCAAAAGCGCTTCAGTTGCCATGAATTAGTAGTGATACCAATATTGTACTGATTTTCCACTTTCTTGTAAAATAAAATCATAATTTTGAACATTAAAAACTTGGATAGTTAGAAATTGTGATACAATGACACTTTTAGTTATAGATATAACGTCAAAAAGGTGACATTTACACATTTTTGAGATATTCAAAATGGCCGCCAAATTGGTCCTTTTTGTAAAAACCTGTATCAAAAAAGTTCTGCAAATAATGGGCATCTAGTGTTTTGGCTAGGGAATACTTAGACAACTCAGCCGCTAGAACTTGTGTGTATGGATTTTCTGACCCTGGAGAGGTCCAAGGGAGGCTATTCATACATTCTAGTTGTGTCGGATCATTTTACTAAGTACCACTCGCAACATGGAGGCTAAGACAACTGCGAATGTGTTTATCCAGAACTTTGTTAATCATTATGGAATTCCACAGCGAATACATTCCGATCAAGGAGCAAATTTTTGAGGGACGGATCATCGCGCAGTTGTGCAAAGCTCTTGGGATCGTTAAATCGCGAACAACTCCATACCACCCGATGGGGAACGGCTAATGTGAAAGATTTAATCGTACCCTGTTAGGAATGCTGCGGACCCTGGATCCAGACAAGAAAGCAGACTGGAAAAATCACATTGGAGAATTAGTGCATGCATACAATTGCACGCGTCATGAGAGCACCAGTTATTCACCGTTTTAACTCATGTTTGGGAGGGAGCCCAAACTTCCACTTGCTTTGGCATTTGGTATAGGAAGCTCAGATGAAAATCAGACGCTCCCCACCTATGTAAGCACCATGAGGAAGAGGTTAAAGGAATCGTACCAGTTAGCGATGGAATCCACCAGATTAAACAGTCAGAGACAGAAAACCCACTATGATTCACGCACAAGAAGTGCTGTTCTACAAATTGGGGACAGGGTATACGTACTGGTGCATGTGCTGCCCTTTCGTGTCATCAGTCAACCCAACAGCAGCATTCCGGTGTACACTGTACAGCCAGAGGAGGGATCTGGAAGGTGTAAGACCTTGCACCGTAACCACCTACTCCCTATTGGTTGCTTGGAGGAAGTTGACACAGAGACCAAGAAAGAAAACAACATCACCACTGTGCGGCCGAGACGAAGTGATCGTACTTTAAGATCAAGCCCACAGGCCATGATAAAGACCATGAGCCTGGAAGTGAAGAGTCTGACGAGGAATACATAATTGTGCCTGATGTTATCAGCACTGAAGAGGAGGAGTTGACCCCCTCCACAGAGTCAGTAGATGTATCGGCTCCGGAGCAGGAGAATGTAGTGAGTGGTGACGACCACATGCCCGACAATCCGTCAGAGGGCAACATTCATCCAGACATTGGACAGGCAGAGGATTTAAGTGTTGTTGAGGAGAATGCCAGTGAGGAGGAGGATCCTGTAGATGAACCCGCACCTTGGAGGTCAGGGAGGGTAAGGACACGCCCTCACAGGAATTAGCATTAAGGCAACAAGTCAAGGAAACAGACTGGCAAGCTCACTTTCTGATTGAATTTCCACTCAGGGAGTGTTTGGGGACATGTCAGAGTCCATCGCTATGGCTTTACTGCAGGTGATTTGTTCTACAAAGCGATGAATTGTACNTGACAATCCGTCAGAGGGCAGCACTCATTGGACAGGCAGAGGATGTAAGTGTTGTTGAGGAGAATGCCAGTGAGGAGGAGGATCCTGGAGAGGAACCCGCACCTCGGAGGTCAGGGAGGGTAAGGACAAGCTGTCGCTGGATGACCTCACAGGAATTAGCATTAAGGCAACAAGTCAAAGAAACAGACTCGCAAGCTCACTTTCTGATTGAATTTCCACTCAGGGAGTGTTTGGGGACATGTCAGAGTCGATCGCCATGGCTTTACTGCAGGTGATTTGTTCTACAAAGCGATGAATTGTACATACATGTAGATGTAATAAGACTATGTATTTGTACTTTCTAGAAGAAAGACTTTAATGCATAACATCTAGTGTTGCTATGTAAATGACAATGACGTCATTTCTCTCATCAGGGGGTGGGGGGGTTAATACTGAAATTTAATGTTGGATTATGCTGTGAAATTTTAGAATTTAAAAAAAAAACAACATATTAATGTTCAGTAATAAACGACAAGTATAGGTAAGTATATAGTTGTTCGCTTATAACTGAGTGACATAGTGTATTGGAAGCAAATGACGAGGACACCATCCTTTTATCAGGAGGTGTATGTGACAGGCACCTATCAAGTGCTTGGCCAATTTTAAGTAAGTATATAAATTCTCCTTTTCATTCCTCTTTTTTTATATCTTTTACATTCTTTATCTTGTATTTCATTTACTCTATTCAATTACTTTTCATACGTCTGTGTCCCCTTATGCGAGTAATGAGTTTTACCAGTGTTATCCTGCGAGAAACGTGTTTTACCTGTGTTTTCCTATTGATTTAAACATATTTTTATTGCCTTGAAAATGACAAAAAGGATTGGGCACAAGTTCTTACAACTTAATTAAGCCCTCTCCTAACTTAAATACAGTTTACGTACATCATAGCTGTCTTAACATGTACATTTCATTTTTTTTTTAATTATTTATTTTTTATTGAATTTAAGTTGAATTATTAAAATAGGTTGTTGACGACTGTTTCTCTGTACCCCGACCTACTCATAGAGAATTAACCGAGGTTTTCACACAGATAAAGAAAATTCAATTCTTCGAACATGATGTAATTGTTGTAATTAAGACTACTTACTAGAAGCGGTTTGTATCCTTAATGTACTTACATACATAGTTAAAGGTTTTACTGTTTTGTTCAAAAGTGAGATCATGATTACCCCAGAGAAGTGTGTTTATGTCTGTTAGGAGGATCTCTGGAAGATTTAAGTTCCTAAGATTTCTTACCAGGTGATTTCTTACAGTTGAGTAATTTGGACATGTATAGAAATAGTGATGTACATTTTCTACCTCCCCACATAAACATAAAGGGTTATCACTGAGGTTAACTCTATAAATGTCATATTGAAGACTGCTGCATTTGTTCCTAAGTCTGGTGTGTAAAATTGTAAATTTTCTATCTCCTACTGTTAAAAATTTTGGAATAGAAACAACATCATGTTTGAAACAGTTTTTAAATGCAACAAGAGAATGGGTTGACTTTATGTTTTCCTGTTCAAGTGCGTTACCTGTGTACCTGTCTTGTATGTCACGTGGTGTCCTATATTCATGTCCCAGAGAGTTGGGGTAGGGTATCGTATTTGGACCTCTATGGCCAAATATGTCGACGGAGGAGGACATACATTTTATATGCTGTCTCTGCTTATTGAGCCCTCTGATATTTGCAGGACAAGTGGCATTTTGCTGTTACACAGCGGTAAGTGTTTTAAGTGAGAAAGTATTGTTTGTATGTAGGTTTTAAATATTATATATTATGTACAATTTATAATTAATACAATTGTGAAACTTTAGATAACACATGGTTTTGGAGACTCCATTTCAGTCGCTTGTTTAGTTTCACCATGTCCAGAAAACGTATATATATTCTTGTCTAAGTAACTGCTAAATAATTATTAGATATTCCATTATTATTTTCCTCTATAGCAATTTAATTCTATTATTAAATTGAGTTCAAATTAAATTGAATGAATGTTATATTTGTGTGTGCATGTACATGCGAATGTGTATTTCTGGTTTGTATTTGTCATTTGTAGATATGCGTTTATTGGGGTATATACCCGTAATTAACAACCGAATTGAACCCTAAAGGCGGTGTTGAGTGGTATTTAATGGCCCTCACAATAGAACCGGCTACACATTTTTCAGATGCATGCTTGCTTTTTAATAAAAACCTCCTATACTAGATCAAAATGAGGTTTTAACAAACAGTTATTCAAAAACATCCCCATGACAACAGTAAACTGGATTTCCATTTCTGACACAGTAGCCTACCTAAGAAGAAGACCATTTTCTAGCATTCCTCGTTTCCTGCTTTGGTACAGTAGGCGTGACCTCATGACATCCTCATCTTCATTGAGCCTTTCCTTGTAAGGGGGTGGGGGAGGATACTCGTCTGGTGGCGTGTAGTACTCGGAGGAATATCTCACTGTCTGGACTGATGGAGCTGCAACTCTCTGAGGAGACAACACATCAACAAAAACGTGAACATTATAAGGGCTATCTTTTGTATACTATTTATGAATCACATTTATACAATGTTATTAATTACAATACTTATTTTTTTTCTTGTGATTAACCAATCTTTAAGACTCTATTGATTAATTCATGCACTAACACAATGTAGGAGGATGTAACAGCTAAGAAGGTGATGGGGGTAATACTGCCTTGCTGGAAAAGCAAATTTTCAGTGATGCGGTGTAAAGTGGGCCCGCTCATGATCACTACATTGTAGTTCAGCAACGTAGCCTAAAACATGAAAAAACTACTCTGAAGTGAACACCTTAGTTAAGGTCCAAATATAGCTGTAACAAATTTTCAGGTCCCTATGGGAGAAACCAAGCCTGACTTTTCTTTGGCCCTGACACCAGACTTACATATTTTGACAGAAAGATGTCTGGTGGCAGGGCCAGAGAAAACTCGGGCTAGGAGGAACCATGGGATTCTCCAGTGTAACAGCTCAGTAAGTTGAGGGGGAAATACTGTCTTACTGACAAGCTAGCTTTTCCAGCGATGCGGTATAACACGGGGACCCGCTCACTAGTTGGCAAAGTCGAACTTGGCCAGTAGCTAGATGGTGACTGCGCGCACGTTTCAGGATTATGCAATGACATTTATCCGTCAAAACAGGAGATGTCAACACCATTCATGACAAGTTTCCAGTGTCCTGTGAAGCTACATCATTAATCAGTATATTAATAAATACCAGTTTTCATTACATACCTGACAAAGTCGAGCTGTCTGTACGCCACAACGTACAATCTGACGAATAGCATTGAATGACATGGTCGTTCACAATCGCCTGCCTGGCCTTGTTGTATAATAATAATGCAAATTTTTGGAGTTACTTCCCTTTAACCTTTCACTTCCGGCGGGCGCCGTGCTGTGAGTATTGCAGAGTTATCTTCTCTTGTGAGCAGGTATTGATTGTTACGTCATTGGTTTGCTAAATATCACTCCCTTTTGTTTATTGAAAAGATGATGACTTTTAAAGATTTATACACAAATGACCAGATGTGAGATTGAAAGAGTGGCAAGGTCATTGACAAGAACAATCTTAATTAATAGCTTTTCATCTGAGCATATGCATCTTGGTTTTTAAGAAGAAGTCATATTTTTTTTTACATATTTGACCCCTGTGACCTTGAATATAATTCAAGGCCATTCTTTTGAACAAACTTTTCAAAACCTTTCATCCCAGCATGCTACCTGCTAAATGTCATCGTCCTAGCCTTTAAGTCGTTTAAGTTTTTGACCCTTGTGAACAAACTTGGTAATCCTTCATGCCTGAATGCCACTAGCAAAACATTGTCACCTTGGACATTTTGGTTTTTCATCAGAAGTCGTTAAAAGGTGTTTTTAAAGACAATTGACCCCTGTGATCTTGAATATAGGCAAAGGTCAATCAATTGAACAAACTTGCTTCCTTCATTCCAGCATGTTACTAGCCGGATATCACATGCTTAACCTGTGACTCTTGGTTATTCAGTAGAAGTTGTTTCAAGGTTTCAAACATATTTGACCCCTGTGACCTTGAATAGGGTGAAGGCAATTCATTTGAAAAAACTGTATTCAAGCATGCTACAGGCCAAATACCATCATCCTGGGCCTCCCGATTATTCAGAAGAAGTTTTGAAAGATTTTAACATATTTGACCCTGTGACCATGAATTTATATTAAGGTCATTACCCTAGGCCTTTTGGTTATTCAGAAGAAGTCATTTAAAGATTGTAAACCTATTTGACTCCAATGACCTTGAATATATGTTATGGTCATTCATTTGAACAAACTTCGACGCGTTTCATCCCAGCATGTTACTGGCCAAATGTCAACACCCTAGGCATTCTGGTTATTCAGAAGAAGTCGTTTAAATGTTTAAAACATATTTGACCCCTATCACCTTGATTATAAGTCAAGGTCAATCAATTGAACAAACTTGGTACCCCTTCATCCCAACATGTCCCTAGCCAAATATCATCACCTTGTGCCTTCTAGTTATTAAGGGAAGAAGTTGTTGAAAGATTTTTAACATATTTGACCCCTGTGACCTTGAAAATGGACAAAGGTCATTAATTTGAACAAACTTGGTAGCCCTTCATCCAAGCATGTTACTGGCCATATATCATCACCCTGGGCCTTTTTGGGTTATTTAGAAGAAGTTGTTTTAATGTTTAAATATAGTTGACCCCTATGACCTTGAATATATGTCAAGGTCATTTACTTGAACAAACTTGATAGCCCTTTATCAAAGCATGCATCTTGGCCAAATATCATCATCCTGGGCCTTCTGGTTATTCAAAATTAGTCGGTTAAAGATTTTAAACATATTTGACCCCTACGACCTTGAAAACGTGTCGATGTCATTCATTTGAAGATACTTCGACGTGTTTCATCCCAGCATGATACTTGCCAAATATCACCACCCTATGCCTTCTGGTTATTCAGAAGAAGTTGTTTTAAAGTTTTAATCATATTTTACTCCTTGTGACCTTGGATATAAGCCAAGGTCATTTATTTGAACAAACCTTGGTAGCCCTTCATCCCAGCATACTACTAGCCAGATATCACGACCCTGGGCCTCTTGGTTATTCAGAAGAAGTGTTTTACAGTAAAAAGACGACGACGGACGGACGATGGACGGACGCCGCACCACACAGCATAAGCTCACTTGGCCCTTCGGGCCAGGTGAGCAAAAAACGGACAAACTAAACCGGTTGTTCCGCATAAACGAACAGGCCCCTGCAAAATACAAACAAGTTATTTGAGTCTTATCTTCACATTAACATCACAGTTTTTCCATGACAAATAATGTCACTCTATAATAAGTATATTAGACTAAATGAACAGATGAAATACTTACAAACCGTTCCCTAATTGAACCGTTTGTTACACAATAAAAATCGTCGAAAAATAATTAGTGCATGCCAGTTTTGCAGGGAACGAAAATTAAACTGACCATCAACATTTGCTTATCATTTGCCTATTGTATTACATGCGCAAAAACTAAGGCAAGCGTTTCACCGAATGTGGGTTTTTGGGGTACCAAAAGGGGTAGGGTAAATCACAATTATAATTTGCTGTTTTCAAAATGAGCTAAAGCAACCAAAATAATACCATTTCTGTTTTTGAAAACATGAATAAAGATTGTTAATATAAAACGGAGGATTAAGACAAGGGGTTATTTTAGGTAATATTCAAATGAAAAGTGTTTTGTGTTCTCAATTTTCAGTTGAATTATACAACTTCACTCATTTGGGTACATACAATATGTAAAACGCATATTTACTACACACTTTAATTTTGTTTCATACTGAGTTATCAATTAGCGCCTGATAAGGCAGCCCCTGCGAATTCCTCAACATTGTATTGATTAATATATATATGCTAATTGTATTGACTGTATAAAATTGTATATCTATGTACTGTGAAGCGCTGTAGAGTGGGTTATGTTAGCTAGATAGGGCGCTATATCAAATGTTGTATATTTATTTCAAAAATCAGCAACCGACCGAATTTAACATTCTTCATGTTGTATTTCATTTACTCTATTCAAAGTTTACCTTTTATACGTCCGTGTCCCCTTTTGTGAGTAATAAGTTTTACCTGTGTTGTCCTGTTAACTAGTCCTGTTCACGTACCCGTCGTATCACGTGGTGTCCTATTGACGTGCTAGAGAGCTGGGGTCGGGTACTGTATTTGGGGCTCTCTGACCAAATACATTGACGGAGTAGGTATACATGTATATATCAGCTCTCTGATATTAGCTTTAGGAAAAGTGGCATTTTACTAAGTGTTTTTTAATTGAGAAGGTATTTTTTGTATGTACAATTTATAATTAATACAATTGTAACATAAATTAGTAATTTTAAATAGCACGTGGTTTCGTCGATTTAATTTCAGTCGCTAATGGTAAGTCTCCATTTAATTTCTCATTTTCTCTTATAGCAATTTAATACTATTATTAAATTGAGTGGATGTTTTGTGGAATGAATGTTATACTTGTGTGTGCAGGTACGTGCCAGTGTGTATTTATGGTTTGCATGTTATTTGTAGATTGGCGTCTGTTGAGGAATTTGCCCCGTAATAAACAACAGAACAGAACCCTAATACGTTGATGAGTGGTATATTAATTGCCCTAACATTGGAACGGCTACATATATACTGATTCCATAAGTTTGTCGAAGAAGATTTTACTGTCGACATTACTTGTGGTGTGTTTTCCGGGGAAGGTCTCTGTTGGTATTGCTATGTACTTTAATCCATAAAATATCGTCATATTTGTCTTCTAAAATCTGCACTTTACGAAACTTTAAAATTTCATTTTTTCAAAGATTCCAACTCATGCGCTACACACTTGGCGTTTTTGTGTAAATTGTTTCCAATCCATTTGTATCCGTCGAGGAATGGTGTTGAATGGTCACGTAAAAGGTTTCACAAATAGCGAAAATACTTTAAGTCTAAGATTGAGGTTATCGTTATTGGACAGGGACAAACCTCCTAGGTTTCAGAGACAGATATTTAGTCGGGGTCGGCATTCTCCGCGCTCCTAATCCCTATGGTTTTGTTTTCATTCAAGCATATTTTATTGAAGGAAAAACAATCGAAGGGATTGGGCACAAGTTCTGACAACTTACTAGGCCCTCACCCGACATTACAACACACAGTGACTAAAGATATAACACTTGGTGACAAAAAGTTCAGCATATACACATAGACAATCTACTGATTGACATGAAAACAGCAACGAGAAAAGGAAGGAGAGAGGGAAAGGGTAAAAGAAAGGGACAGTAGGGGAAATGTTCTGGTTGCATTAGTTGTCCACTAGTTGGTAATAAACCTCTTCGTTGGTTTTATAAATGATTGTACAACAATATGATTTTGACATTTGTTTGGAATGGAAGATCTGCATCTCCCCATATCAGAATATCCAGTTGGGGGACTGGTTGAATACCGTTTAAAAGAGCATCGAATAATCTTTTTCGAGGATTTGAAAATTGTGCACAGACAAATAAATAATGATATGGATCTTCATTACCATCATCGCAATGACAGGTAGTTTTTACACAAATACCTACGCGGAACATATCACTTCTAAGACTACTAATTCGTGCTAAAAGAGCCGATAGGTATCAGTTACCGACATTCAAATATTTCGGTAAAACGCGTGGTACGCGTAATATTTTCGTATGGATGACGGAATATTTTAACAGAATTATCAAGTCTATTCAACAAAATTGTAGAAGTGATGAATGTTTTTTTTTAAGAATATATAATCTACAGCGTGGTATTTGACAGTTATCGGGATTACGAAAATCACGATGAAGATCATTTCTTCTGAAAGGAAGCAAACTATGAAAATAATCTGGTACTACTATATTATGCATCTTATAAAAAGATTTTAAAGGTACCCATCCGGTTTCAAAGTAAAGTGCCTCACAAGAGGCGACAGAGGATAGACCAGATTCAACTATGGCTGCTTCTAACTGCACCCTCTCCATGGCATTTGAAAGTTCAACAGAAAAACCATCCCATACACCAGAGACATATTCTAGAGTTGGTCTAATGATAGATGTATATATAGTATTTAATGTTTCCTTACTTACTTTATATTTCAATTGTTTTAATGCAGAAACTTTAGAGGAAGCTGTTAATAATTTGATGCCATTTGCAGTTACTACTGAGAAACATTCCATTGTTACAATGAGAGTTTGTGAAAGGAAGCAGTTTGTTATTACCAGGAAAGTTAGATTTTATATCAAGTGGACTAGTTGGGAAAAGAACTACTCCCGTCTTATCGGGATTGAACTGCATCAACCACTGATCAGACCAGTCCTGTAAGCGTTGAATATC